GGGGGGGGATATGTGGGGCAGGAGGCGATGGGTGGGGTGTGGGGTGAGATTTATGGGGTGGATGTGTGGGGTGATGCCTTGTTTTCCCTACAGGATGGAAATGGCAACCAGGTGCTGCCCCGCGCGTCCCAGGAGGTGAGAGGGGCGCTGTGGGGCCCGCAGTGGGGCGCTGTGGGGCAGAGCGTCATTTTCCCCCCTCTCCCCACAGGAGGTCAATCAGCGCCTGAATAACCTCTACAGCCTCCTGCTGGAGCTGCAGGTCTGTGGGGCGGCGGTATGGGGCGCTGTGGGGTGCTGTTATGGGGCTGACACTGTGGGGTGTCCTGGGTGGTGCTATGGGGCTCTGTGGGGTGGCACTGGGCTGTGGGCTGCTATGGGGTGCGGTGAGGCTGCGCTGTGGGGCACTGTGGAGTGGCACTACAGTCAGTCTGGCGCTACAGGGCTCTATGGGGCTGATGCTGTGGGGTGCTGTGGGATGCTCTGAGGTGCCGTGGGGCTGACAATATGGGCTGTGGGGCACTGTGGGGCAGCTCTATATGCTATGGGGCGTTATGGGGCGGCTCTATGCTGTGAGGCGCTATGGGATGCTATGGGGCAGCTCTATGTGCCATGGGGCGCTATGGGGCGTCTCTATGTGCTATGGGGCGCTATGGGGTGGCTCTATGTGCTATGGGACACTATGGGGCGGCTCTGTGCTATGGGGCACTATGGGGCGGCTCTGTGCTATGGGGCACTATGGGGCAGCTCTATGTGCTATGGGACGCTATGGGGCGGCTCTGTGCTATGGGGCACTATGGGGCAGCTCTATGTGCTATGGGACGCTATGGGGCGGCTCTATGTGTTATGGGGCAGCTCTGTGCTATGGGGCGCTATGGGGCGGCTCTGTGCCGTGGGGCGCCGTGGCTCCGCCCCCCCCCCCCCCCCCCCCCCTCCAGGCTCAGGCGGCGCTGCAGGACACGCGCTGGGAGCTGCAGCTGCACGCGGCTCGCGGCTCGGCGCCGCCCCCCCCGCAGCCCGCCGCCCCCCGGCGCCGCCCCCCCAACCCCGCCGCCGCCGCCGCCCCCCGAGGCGCAGCTGTCGTTGCTGCAGCGGCAGCACGCGCTGTTGCAGGAGGAGCTGCAGCGCTGCCGGCGGCAGCTGCACGAGCGC